AGTCCTGGAAGGTGGCCTCTCCCCTCTCCCGGGGCTCCCCCCGCGTTTGTGACTCTCCCGGCTCTTCCAGGGGTGCGCCTGGCCAGGTGGGGTTCTGGGGGTGGCTCACTCCAGCGAGACCCTGGGGGGAAGCCAGGAGCCACCGGCTCCCTCCCGAGAAGCCATATGGAGCCTGGATTTTTCCAACATGGAGGCAAGGGAAATAGACATGTTTGGCTGTTAGAGCTGCTCCCCACCCCCACGGCTCCCGGGTCCCCAGATCTCGGATCCCCGAGGCACCTTTCCCGCTCCGCACCGTCCCGCCAGCCAGGCCCCGGCGCCCCGCAGCCCGGCCCGGCGGAGTCCCGGGGCGGAGTTGCTCTCCCGCCTCTAATCCGGTTACCGCCAGCGCCCAAACTTGCTGCCGCCCGTAGGGCTCGGCTCTCAGCCCGGAGCGCTGGGAACCTGCCACCGCCAACCGGGCCGGCGTCCCGGACGCTTTCTCGCCGCCTCCGTGGGCCCGCGTAGCTAGTCGCCAGCCACCGCGGCAGCAGCGGCCCAGACAGCCCGGCGGCGGCGGCGGCGGCAGTAGCCGGGGGCTCAGCCCCTCCGCAAACCTTCCGGCCCTCTCTCCCCGGCGGCGGCGGAGGCTCCATTCTTCCCTACCGCGCTCCTGGCTCCTCCGCTCCCCACACTCTCCCGGCCGCGGTCCTGCAAGGGTTTGCGGGTTTATTGCAGGGGGAGCGACAGAAATTTCGGCCTCAGGCGTCTAGTCAAATTATTGTTTTATTATCCTCCTCCTCCTCCTCATCATCATGACTGCTGTAACAATCATTTAGACCAAATAAAGCCAGGGCCCAGCCACCAACCCCCTCCAACGTTTTTATTTTATTCTTCTATCTATTAATAACAAACTCAACGGACGCCTGTTAATTAATTCCCCCTTCAGCCAGGGCTGCTCCGAAGCTCATTTTGGTTAAATCATCAGAGACTAATGGTAATAATAATAAAGGCGCTGGGTCAGCCTGGTCAATTGAACTCCAGTTTTCCTGAAAGGACCTGCTGCTTTGCAGACCCATGTGTATTTTCCAGGAACAAATTCTTCCCAGAAACCAATCGGACCTCAGGGCCACCCCGGCTTTCTTTGGGGTATAAATCTGTGCGATTAAGAAGGGGATTTATGTGTGGGAGGGACTTCCTTCACCTCCACGCCTTTTCTGTTATTTTCCTATTTTTAGTTTTCTTTGGAGTTTGCCAGCCGGGCTGAATGAGATTTAAGTATTCCAAACTCACATGTCAGAAGAGAGGGTCAGTCCGGAGGTTTTATGAAAAAGCGTGATGGTGAGGCCTTGGGGAAGACAGATGAGGGGGGAGGGATGAAGGCAGAAGTTTCAGAAGAAATATACAAAACCCTATGGCAGCTCGAACCTTTATTTTTCCGGCACACTTTAAAAAGGCTGCATGAAAAAAACAATGATTTTATTTAAAAAAATGTTGCCCCAGAGAACTTTAGTAAACAGGGGTACCCTGTTTCCAGCCCAGAGAATAATATTGTTCAAATTGCTTTGTTGACTTTCTTTTTTTCCTAGGGAATTTTTTTTTCTCTTTTAGAAAGTCTTTTCCCATCTCTTGGTAGAAAAGTCCAGCAGTTATCCAGTTTCTTTCTTCTTTTCTTCTGTTGAAGGAATCAAAGGAAACAAACTGTCAAGAAAAGGGTGGGAAAAATTAAGTCCTGTGGGAAAAAAAATGAAGGAGGGAGGAGATCTGGGCCAAATGGTCACAGCACCAAGCAGCCCGGCCAGGGAATTGAAACAATCCTGCTCCTTTTGGGAGCCCCATGGGGGCGGCTAGCCCCGGTCCCAGACTTGGCTGGGCCAAGACTTAGCCTGGAGGTGGTGATACCTGGAGCAGGGACATGCAGGGACGCGGGAAAGGCCCAGTTCCTCTGGTTCAGGAGGTGAAAGGTCTTCAGGAAGTTTCTAGGTCAGGCCGTTGTTATTGTCTTTGTGAGTTGAGAGGATCCCTGACATAAGAAGGCTCTCTGCTCAGCCTGCTTCTTCCTTCTGTCTCTTTCCGAGTTCTGTCTTTCCTTCCGATGAGACTCTGTGTGGGTGAGAGAGACCTGATGGACACGGAGGGAGGCAGAGGCAGGAGGCCTCAGCTCAGAGAAGGGTATTGCTGATGCTTTTAGAGTCTCCCAGTCTCCCCCTTCTTGAGCCACCCTCTCCAGAGTTGGGGTGGAGGAGATAGGGGGAGGAAGGAGGAGAGGTTAGAGGCTAGTGTGCTGGCACAGGAGAGAAAGCAATGACTTTTGCAGTAAGCAGGAAGATTCTAGACCTAGCCAGACCCCAAAGGAGTACCGTCCTTATTTTTAAGTGGAAATGAAAACCGGTGGGCTTTTACTTTGCAACTAAAGCGTTGAAATTAAGGAAAATCCATTGCCGGCCAGGAAGCGGCCTCAGCATCTGCTGTGAAGATGCCGGGGTTGGGGAGAGGAAAAATCCCTATTGATGTCAGTTCCCTTTTCAGTTCCTAAGATGGATTCGAGCCGCAGTCCTCTTCTCCCCCTTGTGTCTCTTCTCTCACCCCGCAGGTCAGCGGCTCCGAACAGACCCCGGGAGGAGGGGGGCAGAAAGGGGAGGGGGGGTCCGGCGCCTCACGTGACCCCCAGGGGTGCCAATGTCCGGTCGTGAGGGTCTCAGGCCCTTGCAAGTTGCCACCCACTGCCCGGGTTTCGCCCAGCGATGCAGAAAGCCACCTACTACGACAACAACGCCTCGGCCGCACTCTTCGGAGGCTACTCCTCGTACCCTGGCAGTAATGGCTTCGGCTACGATGGGGCCCCCCCACCCCCCTTCCAGGCCGCCACGCACCTGGAGGGTGACTACCAGCGCTCGGCGTGCTCGCTGCAATCCCTGGGCAACGCCGCCCCGCATGCTAAGAGCAAGGAGCTGAACGGCAGCTGCATGAGGCCGGGCCTGGCCCCCGAGCCCCTGCCCGCCCCGCCCGGCTCACCCCCGCCCAGCGCCGCACCTACCAGTACCACTAGCAACAGCAGCAGTGGGGGCGGGGCCGGCAAAAGCGGCCCCCCCAAATGCGGTCCCGGCTCCAACTCCACCCTCACCAAACAGATATTCCCCTGGATGAAAGAGTCGAGGCAAACGTCCAAGCTGAAAAACAGCTCCCCCGGCACAGGTACCAGCTCTCTGCCTTCCTCAGCGTGCGCTTTTGTCCGGGCCAGGAATGTCGCTGTTATTCTAGCACCCAGCCCCGAGGCGCCCGGGCGGCGGCCTGGGGACAAGATCAGGTGGAGGTGGCAGCGGCGCAGCTCCCCGACCTCCCACCACCTGATGACCCCTGACCCCACTCACACCCTCTCCCTCCGGCCACCCTGCACCCGAGCTCCAGAAGGCCGGGCGCGGGGCCAGTAGACGCAGAGTCGTCAACGATTGATTATTATTAAGTATGATTCCTGTGGGTATTAATCACAATCTCTCGGGCGGCCCCGGGTCCCGGCCTCCAGGCACTGGCAGCCTCTTCGCGCCACACTCCCGTGTCCTGCCCACGGATGTCCTGGTGCCTCAAGGGTCGTCCTCGGCCACCCCCATCCTGGTCACAGACAGGGGCAGGAGAGGGGGGAGTGACTCCCCAGACCTGGAGTTGAGGATGGGGGAGAGAGCGTGCGAGAGAAAACTCAGCCCTAAATAAATGGCCATGTGGCTCTGTCTGTGTGACATGATCAAATTTTCATAAGCTGGGGCAGGAGAGGAGAACAGGTCTCTTAATAAATGCCACTATTATAGAGTGTCCCCTAATGCGACGGGCGTTGGGGGGGGGGTAGCAAGGAGGAGGCGGGGACGGGAAGGGGAGGCGGCGGGGGATCCGAGTCCAGGCCTGGATTTATTAAGAAACGATGCATTCAATTTCGGCGTGTTCAGTAATTATCTTTTATTTCATTTTCTCCCCTTCCCACCCCTCCCCCTCGGATCCAGCGGAGGGCTGCGGCGGTGGCGGCGGCGGCGGCGGCGCAGGCGGAGGCGGAGGCGGTAGCGGCGGCAGCGGTGGGGGCGGCAGCGGCGGCGGGGGAGGGGACAAGAGCCCCCCGGGATCCGCGGCGTCCAAGCGGGCGCGGACGGCATACACGAGCGCGCAGCTGGTGGAACCTGGAAAAGAGATTTCCACTTTAACGCTCACCTGGTGCCGGCCCGCCCGCAGTGAAGATGGCCAACCTGGTGAACCTCAAGCGAGCGGCAGATCCAAGATTGGTTCCAGAACCGGCGCATGAAGTACAAGAAGGGATCAGAAGGCCAAAGGGCCTTGCCTCGTCGTCCAGAGGCCCCTTCCCCCGCCGAGCAGCCCCCCGCCAGCCCATGACAGTCAACGAGCAGGCTTTCATGAACGCCTTTACACTCCCATGACCCCAGCTACGGAGAAGCCCGTCCCCCGCCCCACCTTCGAGCAAAAGCCCACCCGAATGCCTACGGCTGTCCTCAAAACTACCAGCCCTCTCTCAAAAGGCTGCGGCGCCCCGCAGAAATACCCCGCCCACGCCGGCGCCCGATTACGAGCCCCACGTTCTCCAAGCCAACGGGGGCGCCTACGGGACGCCCACCATCCAGGGTAGCCCGGTGTACGTGGGCGGGGGCGGCTACGTGGATCCGCTGCCGCCCCCTGCCGGCCCCTCCCTCTACGGCCTCAACCACCTTTCCCACCACCCCTCGGGGAACCTGGACTACAACGGGGCGCCCCCTATGGCCCCCAGCCAGCCCCACGGACCCTGCGACCCCCACCCCACCTACACAGACCTCTCCTCTCACCATGCGCCTCCTCCTCAGGGTAGAATCCAAGAAGCGCCCAAGTTAACACACCTGTGATGGGAGAGGTGGGGGGGGGGGCGGAGGGATGAGGTCAAGGGGTGGGGGAGAGCCTGGAGTGGTAGCCTGGAGGTCTGAAGGAAGAGGCAGGGACTTGGCAACCAGGCTTCCTGGGAAGGACAGGCCTGGAGTTCCTTCCCTTCTTGGCCTGAGAGGTTGCTTTTTAAAAATCCTCCAGCCCTTGTTCCATCTGTCTGCCTACCCACTGAAAAGGAATCCACAGCAGATTGGAGATGACCCCCCCCCCTCCAACCCCCCTCAACCCTAGGCCTCTGACAATATGCAGTTGGTATTCCAGGCTTGGGAGTGGGCTAGCGGGAGGAGACAGGGCAACAAGGTAGAGAAGCACATTTTAAAAACACAGACAAGATGGCTAGGCCATCACCAACCAACTTACCTTCAGTCTCTGTGGGTAATTCCCCCAAATCTTGATTTTTTTTCCCCCCTTGCAATTCTCCTTTAAAAAGAATTAGAAAACATTCAAAACCAGGGCA